GAGTTTGACGAGTTTGACGAGTTTGACGTGTTTGAAGAGTTTGACGTGTTTGACGAGTCAATGCGGTCAACCTGTGGTCAAAATGACATTCCGATGGTTCAAAGTTGTGTACTGTGTCTATTATGACGTATTGAACGCGTTTTTATTATAAGGAGAGCATATGGGAAAATGATAAATTCTACCCTAAACCAATGTGTAACATAAAGTGTAATAGAACATTAGGGTTTCGTTTGGGGGAACATGCATTGCTACACAAAATAAGGTGCTAAATTTAGATAGCTGCGATTATTATTTACTTATCAAATTTGTTATACGAGGTGCTTATTAACATTTTCGTGGTTCGCAATTGATAAATTCGCCAAATCAGAGAGTTTGACGAGTTTGACGAGTTTGACGTGTTTGACGAGTCAACGCGGTCAACCTGTGGTCAAAATGACATTTCGATGGTTCAAAGTTGTGTACATGGTCTATTATGACGTATTAAGCGTGTTTTTGTTGTAAGGAGAGCATCTGGAAAAATGATAAATTCTACCCTAGACCAATGTGTAACATAAAGTGTAATAGAACATTAGGATTTCGTTTGGGGGAATATGCATTGCTACACAAAATAAGGTGCTAAATTTAGATAGCTGCGATTATTATTTACTTATCAAATTTGTTATACGAGGTGCTTATTAACATTTTCGTGGTTCGCAATTGATAAATTCTCCAAATCAGAGAGTTTGACGTGTTTGATGAGTCAACGCGGTCAACATGTGGTCAAAATGACATTCCGATGGTTCAAAGTTGTGTACATGGTCTATTATGACGTATTGAGCGTGTTTTTGTCATAAAGAGAGCATCTGAGAAAATGATAAATTCTACCCTAGACCAATGTGTAACATAAAGTGTAATAGAACATTAGGGTTTCGTTTGGGGGAACATGCATGCATTGCTACGCAAAATAAGGTACTAAATTTAGATAGTTGCGATTATTATTTACTTATCAAATTTGTTATACGGGGTGCTTATTAACATTTTCGTGGTTCACAATTGATTAATTCGCCAAATCAGAGAGTTTGAAGAGTTTGACGTGTTTGACGAGTTTGACGAGTCAACGCGGTCAACCTGTGGTCAAAATGACATTCCGATGGTTCAAAGTTGTGTACAGGGTCTATTATGACGTATTGAGCGTGTTTTTGTCATAAAGAGAGCATCTGGGAAAATGATAAATTCTACCCTAGACCAATGTGTAACATAAAGTGTAATAGAACATTAGGGTTTCGTTTGGGGGAACATGCATTGCTAAACAAAATAAGGTGTTCAATTAAGTTAGCTCCGATTGTTTTTTGCCTATCAAATTTGTTATACGGGGTGTTTATTGATATGCTCATGGTTCAGAATTGACAAATTCGCCA